ATATTTAAGAAGCGATTTTCGTCATTTAACAAACACAATTTATTTCACTCATCACCTATCATTTCGTTCAGTATTTCAATTCTGTGCATCGATCCAATTCAGCACAAAATTACTCAATAGTTCAATGCAAAACTTCATTCTGAATAGATAATTCTGTGAATTATGAGTAAAAAATGTCAATTCGAGGAGTAATAAACTCAGAAAAATACTTCAAATGTACGTAAAAAATCTCAATTACTGTGTGGTGCATTGCTGAAATTGTTGACAATTGTTGACAAGACCTTGAACTCACGACCTTCTGTTGTCCAAATAATCCATTGTTTGTATATGTGCAGATACTCAAAACAGGTGTTCTTTGTTGCACTTCTGCTTTATTCACGAATATTAATTGCATATAAAACATCATAGCCGGGAATATCTCTCAAACAAATATACGCAGTCAGTTTATTGATGATAACCTTTCAGTCACTTCATTCAACTGATTCGTGTTATGGATGTAATTCAACTGCTCACAGTTGATTTCCAGATTCATATTTCTTCGACTGCAACATTTTTTCTCTGCTCGGTCTTTCTAATTTCGATAATTCGAGCTTTGCCTTCAGTTCAGATAGTGCTCTTCAGTGATACCCTATCTTTATTAACCATATGACATATCACTGTAACACTCCAAATTATAAATGTCATATAATACATATGTAGGGCATTCCTTGCATATTAAATATGTTCACCAATATGTTATATGAAAGCAATGAATTGCATCGATGTGTTAAATGGCAATTAAGATTGTTATCTGTGTGAACAGAGGAACTAAGCGTTGATGATTCATCCGCTTCGTTTTAAAAATATTTATTCGTTCATTTGTTTTTCTCTCGTCTCATTCTTTCAAACGATTCATTCTCGCTCTTAATGAATCATTTGCCATTATTGTCCGACCAAGTGAAAAGATTCTACAGTTTTGCTCGGTATTCAAATCAGTTTGGCTCTTCCTCTATTGTACTCATTCCGTTTTGTTTCACCATTTGCATTTTCACAGGATGAATCTTCAAAATTTTCATTTTTAAATACAGTTCGACTGATTGAAACTGCAATCTGTGATGCGTTTGTCAATCACAAGTGGAAGTAATCTTTATGTTTTGTGCACAGCACATGAAAAATGCTCAACGTGAATTCGCTNTCAATCACAAGTGGAAGTAATCTTTATGTTTTGTGCACAGCACATGAAAAATGCTCAACGTGAATTCGCTCGTATTCACATGATATTTTTCATTTTGCACAATGCATTCAGCTCATTCGTTGAATACAATCGTGAATGTGGTTATTATAATACGAACATTTCTCGCTCTTTTTATGATGCATACAAAATGGGATCGTATAGTATTGTACGGCTCGTAATATTCTTACGAAAAGTGGTATCCAACAACAATACACTAACTAAGCTTTGTCAATGCTCGCGTCAATTATAAAATAAAGTGCGATACTAAATTGACGTTTTCTTATCGAGTCAGTCATTCTCTCAAATAACATTTCATAATGTCATCGACAAATGTTCAACGTGATTCATTTGAATTCTAAACAATAATCATTCATCAAAATACATTCCGAAGGATATTCTCCATGTATGAATAATTATGCGTCATCGCAGATCAATGTTGACGTCGTCAGTACCAACGTTTATCGTCGTTCATCTATCGCAATTTTCACATCGTTATTTTCGTTTCTATTGTTATGCTTATTACTACCATCAACATTTTGTGCGGCTTATCGAAAGTATTTATTCGATCAAAAATGCATAATATATGCAATGCTCTATATATCATTCCTCTTGCAGAAAATCGTTTTTTATCATCTTATCACACATTTTCATCACTAATATTCAACATTTCAACCAAAACAAATAAGTAATTTAACTGACTTTCGATATCCACTGTTGATAATTGACTAGATAATTCTGCTATAATGAGATATTTTTATTGCTTATTAATCTCAGTTTGTTTGTCTCATTTGATCGAATAAGATGCATCTTGAACTAACCATTCATGAACCCAACATACTTCATTGTTCATTAATTTTTTTCTCAAATGCAAAAAAAGCAGAATTTTTGTGGAATAGAAGCTTATGACATAGATACTGCAAGCAAATCACAATTTCCTATCCACTTGCTATGATCATTCCCAATCTGATTTCAATCTATTCTTCTCACANTGCAAGCAAATCACAATTTCCTATCCACTTGCTATGATCATTCCCAATCTGATTTCAATCTATTCTTCTCACACATTCCACTGATACTGAATCATTCCCGAAACTATTTGCATCCTGTTTAAACAAAACGCTGAACTTTGTTTGTACGTCCACCATACATTTCTCAACATTTTGCTATTCAAATTTCTCACTGAAGTGGACATGACATTGTATTGTAGTCGTGTAAAGTGTAAAAATATTACGTGCATCAATTTCAAGTATCCTTTCTTTTTTTATGTTAGCACTGGATTAGTTCAATATGCATTTTCTGATCGGACAATTGTGCACACATTAATGTGCATGTTTTATTGTTATTTCACTCATAATAGATCATTTGGTGGTTATCGCCTCCAGCAATCCCGCCGTCTCATATTTTGATCATATCGTTTGGATTTTTAAGCAATCCTTTCCGCGTCTATGCAGATGTTTCAGATTGCATTCATTCAATGGTTTCATTCTTGAATGAAGATTTTTCCACACACCAATTAAAATGTGGAAAAAGAGAAATCAAAAGTGCTATTATGAATTCAATGCGTTTGAGTTTATGTGCACATTTGTTGTCGCATTGAAAAAGACACGAATTTTATCGCATTTTCACATCAAATCGATTGATGAAATGACTCGTCTGATTACATTCTATCACATTCTTTGCTGCACTCATTTCGAAACAAGTTATTTGGTTTTTTTTTTTTGGGAGGTGAAATTCTTACTCATTTTTATCACTATTTTATGGCTTTGTTTAGCTGTACTTTTCGTCGCTTCGAAAAATGTTCATTTTTGCGGAAGACTTTATTATTGTCATTATAAAATATGCATCGCGTTTTTCATCAAAATTTTTACTTTTTCTCAAAGCGATTGATGTTCGTTCATTTTTT